AAGAGTTGCTTCTATTTGACAAGTAAACATCTGTCCTAAAATCAATTGCCAATCAAGGTTTCATAATATCCAGGGGTATCCCGATTATTTAAGAGTTCTTGTGAAATTCCCAAAATGTTTAAGGTCACTTTCATTTAAAAAAGGGGGGGGGCACCTGGGTGGTTCACTGGGTTAAGCCTCTGCCTTCGGCTCAGGTCATGATCTCAGGGTCCTGGGATCAAGTCCCGCATCGGGCTCTCTGCTTGGCAGGGAGCCTGCTTCCTCCTCTCTCTCTGTCTGCATCTCTGCCTACTTGTGATCTCTGTCTGTCAAATAAATAAATAAAATCTTAAAAAAAAAAAAAAAAAAGCTTGTGGTCTTATGAGATAGCCTGTCATAGTATCAAGCAAATGACAATAGGTATCGCTGTTCCTGAATCTGGCTGGAAACGACTGCCTTTAAAAAATCATAAAGACAAAAAAAAGAAAACATCATAAAGACATTCGCTTGATGCTGAAAACTGAGAAGTAAACTCAGGACCACTGTGAACCCGCAAAGTCCAAATAATTTGGAACATGACTAACATCTGGGAAAACACTCGGGTGAGTGTCCAAAATGCTGAGGGGAGCTGAACTGCGATCTATACCCATCCTCCAGGTAGGAGAGAATAAAACAGAGTCCCAAAGCTTGCTGTTGAAAACTGAATTACAAAATCAGAGGAAAGAAAGAAGGAACAGCTGCCAGGACAGATTGGAATTTAAGTTCATCATTTTATTCCAGTACCCTGCAATTTTCTTCAAAACCAAGAACTCTCAGCTGTTGAGAAAGAATGTGAGAGCAGAAGAAGAGGCCAAGGAAGGCAATGAGGGGACGGAGCAGGGAAGCCAAGGAGCCTGTGCCCAGGCAAGGCCTGAGCCCATGTGCCCCACAGGAGGTGCACCCTGGGGCTCCTTCCCGCCCCTCAGACACAGGAGGCAGGCCTCAGATTAATTCTGCCTCCTGATGGACTGACTCTCACTGCCCGCCCTTGCTAAAGCCAGGCTGGGCTGGGGTCTCAGGAGGGACCTGCCTCTCACCTAGGAAGAGGCCACCCTGCACAGGGGCTCGGCCTGTCTTCCAAGAATGTTGGTGGTAACAGGATGACCTCTGCACATTCTTTGGCCAGGCCCCACCTGCAGCCAAGAGCACGTCCTTCAAAGTGGCTGGGGCAAGGCCAGAAGCATGCCTGGACTACTCCAGACCCCCCCCCCCCAACCAGCTGGGTCCCCTAAGCATCCAGCCCCCGTGCAACTCCACTGAGGTTGTGGCTTGCCCAACACAACTAGGCAGCAGCACACGCCCACCGGGCACTCAGGCCTCCCAGCTACAACCACGGACCTACTAACCCCTCCACACATTTCTGTGGCACTGCCGAAGCAGAGAGAGTAAAGCTACAGGTAGAGTCGGACACCACAGGCGACATGGCGGTGAAGCCTACGAACCAAGAGACACACGGCGCTCTGACCTGTCAGGGGCAGCTTCTTAAGGGTGTGGAAGGGAAAAAACAAAAGCCAGCTTAGACTCATAAGGAAACATAATCTGTGATTATAAATATTTCATGAGCAAAGAAAGTGGTACTGGTTGTGACACTGGGGTGGGGAGGGTGGACAGCAAATTAGATCCCAGTTTGCAAAGTGATAGGGCAGCTGGAAAAGCAGCAAAGCTGAGGCTATTCTGGGCCGTGCGCTGGGAAGGCCTGCGTCATAGATGGAGAGCAGGCTCCAGCCACTCTGCTTTGTGGAAACCACAGTCTTCCAGTGGTCAGCAGAGAACACCTTGGGAGGGGTGTTTAACCCCACGGAAGACAGAGGGGGGACAGTGAGGACAGTTATTTGAAAGACGTGGGTAAGCCTCAGTGGCATGGGTGGCTCAGAAAATGCAGCAGAGAGGCAGGACCCCGCACGCTCTTGAAAGGATCCACACGCTGTATGCTGAGTAAAGGCACAGGAAGGAGTAAGCCTGACCCCAGAAGGCAAGTGACCCGAGATGCAAGGGACAGCTCAGGAAAGAGCAAAGGCCCAGCCCTTGAGCAGGTGGTGCCTGGCTGAGAATCACAATTGTGCCTTCCTTTCCAGGACAAGGGTCTCTTCCCCCTGAACCTTCGGGAAGCAGCCTGGAAAGCTGAGAAACGAGGAGCTTGCTAAGTACCAGCCACTGCAGCTGGAGAGACACTCACCACTGACAAAGGAGATCCTGGTATGGGTGGGAGTCCTCCTCCTCAGCCACAGTCAGCCGCTGCAGCAGAGCGGGCCAGCCACAGATTCCAGCAGCCCTTCCAGAGGGCCAGATGGAGAAAGACGTTAGCTCCTGAAGCACCCAGGCTCTCTTGACTCAAGCTTAGGCGGATGAACCTGGAGTGGGGGGACCAGCACCCACCTCAACCGGGAAGAAAGAAAACTACTAGCCCTCGCTTCCTTGCAGCCAGGACTTAGCAGGCAACAAGCCCTGGGGAGGTACCCACCGTCTTCAGGAAACTCAAATTCTCTTCTACGATCACAGCCAGACAATCAATTCAAGGTGGAGAGGACTCATCAACCTCAAAAAGACAGACCCCATAATGTTGTGGGAGACCCCTGGGTTTTAAGTCCCAGGATCTGACTTCAAGGCCAGCTTTACCACCTATTAGTTTTAAGACCCCATGAAATTACATTACCTCAGAAACTCAGCTCCTCATCTAAAACACGGACCAGTGCCTACCAAACCTAAGGGCTAGGAGGGAGCCAAAAAGAGACAGATGCATAAATACTTTCAAAACAGATACTAAATGCTGCTCCAATTATGAGATCATTTGCAGCCAGCTACCTACTTGATACCTCTTGGAAGTCTCAAAGGCACCCCCATCCAGAGGCCCCCAACTGCTCCCTGCCCCACCCAGACCTCTCCTAGGGCCCTACCCCCTCAATGCCTGGTAGGACCAACCATCCACGCATGGAAGCCAGAAACTTGGGACCCATTCCTGGCCTTCCCCACCATCTAAATGCACTGCCAAGCCCAGGGAACTGCGCCTCCTAAAGGCTTCTACTCCCCTCCCTCACCACCACCCCCATCCAACTCGTCCTCATCTTCACAGGGTCTGCTGCAAAGCCTATGCTACCCATTCTGGCCTCCCTTGGCCTCTGTCCACAGAGCAAATCTAAGCAGATGTCCTCTCCGACCACCTCTACCCCACATGCCAAATACCCCACAATAGTATGCCAATGCCCTCAGGACTAGGAAAGCTGCCTGGGGCTTACAAGACCCTGCACAGCCTGGCCCTGCTCCTCTCCTCCCCTCATCGTACACCATGCTCCAGCTCACTCACCCTGCTCCAGCCACACTGGCTTCTTCAAGTCCCTGGTATATATCCCATTCACTACTGCCACAGGGTTTTTGCACATGCTCTTCCCTCTGCCTGGAATATTTTTCCCTCCTCTCTTGCCTAACTAATGTCTATCCATTTATTTTTGCTAAGGTATAAGGTACACAGAGAGCACTCAGGTGTACAGCTCAGTAATTCTTTACAGATGTATATACTCCCATAACTCCCGCCTAGATCTAGATTGAGAACACTTCTAACACCCTTACATTTTTCCTCTTCCGCTTTCTGGTCTATACTCCTCCCCAGCCGCAGGTCACCAGTATGCTTCTGTCATTTCTATTCATTCCTCAGAAAGCAGCCAATGCAACCCTTTCTGGGGGAAGCTGCCTCCAATCCCTCAGAAAAAAAAGTCTAATCCTGCTATCCTGCTATCACAGGCACTTTCCCACTTGAAGATGTGCATCTGAGTACTTGGGCGATCTGAGTTGATTTTCCCTGGGAACACTATAAGCTCCAAGAGGGCAAGGACCTTATCTACTTGCATTCTCCACTATTCTTCGGGGCTAGTGCATGCAAAGTAATAACAGAAATTAGCTAATACCTCCTGAGTGCTTATTACTGCCAGGCGCTGAGAGATACTAAGCATCATTCCCACCAAGTAGTGCCATTATTATATCCCCATTTTACAGAGGAGGAACCAGAGGGACAGAGAAGTTAAAAAACTTGCCCGAAGTCAGTAAGTGGTAAGTGGTGGGAGTCAGGATTCAAACCCAGGCAGTCTGGCTACAGAGGCTGTGTTCTTAATCATTATGCTACTCTGCCTCTCAGAGGCCACTGGAACATACACAGGATATTCTGAATGAATAAAAGATTTTTTTTAAGATTATTTATTTATTCATTTATTTATTTGACAAAGAGAGCGATCACAAGTAGGCAGAGAGGCAGGCAGAGAGAGAGGGGGCAGCAGGCTCCCTGCTGAGCAGAGAGCTCGATGTGGGGCTTGATCCTAGGACCCTAAGACCTGACCTGAGCCGAACACAGAGGCTTAACACACTGAGCCACCCAGGCGCCCCGAATGAATAAAGGATTTATAAATGAGTTGATGTGATCTCATTAAAGGAACTACGGGAGCCCCCAAGTCTCCCCCAGATCGACAAATAAATGGACTCACCTGCACAGGCCCAAGATCAGGTCATCTGCAAAAGAGAAAGGCTAATCCATTTCCCCAGCAGTCCAGGGAAACAGCTTTCCACTGCTGAACACACAAGAGTGTTCTGGTCCCTAGCAGAGAGTACTTCACAGCAGAGAAAGGATCACTGCCTAGGCTCCAGAGAAGCCGGAAGGCAATGTTCCGCCAAATGAAATGAGTCCCTCAGCCCTTATTCGTGCTAACCTGTAATCTTCATACCCATTTAATATCTCAAGCCCTCTGACACAGAAAGAAGATACTCTGAATGGCAAGAAATTAAAATAGAAAATAAAAAAGCTCGCATGGTTAGAAAGTGACAGAGTCCAACTTCACATTTAGGAACTGGCATTTGGTAGGTACCTCCATTTTCCAGAGCTTGATAATCCTGGATGACCTCACAGGCTATCTCATGCCATCGGTGTGACAAGAGTCGGCCGCCTTTTAATTGCTTCAGTGCCATTTACCTCATGACCACATCCCAAAAAGCTCAGGAGGAAACATACATGAAAGGGTTTATTTTTTCACTGGACACTGTTCCCCAGCCACGGGCCCTGAGTTCCCTCCCATGATTCCTACCACAGCCAGCGGCCTGAGCCCTGCTCACACAAAGGTCTGAGCAATGGCCAGCACCTTGGAAAATTCACCTTCCCTTTGGCGTAGGCTGCTGGGGATGGGTGTCTTAATTCGGGTCCCCACAGGGTTCCCATTGTCCTCAATGAGGACCACATTGTTGGAGTCAAACCTAGGAGTCATCGGGGGACCGGGCATGCGATGCCCCACAATGAGGGCCTTTTTCTTCTGTCCCTTGATGGCCAGCAGTATCCGGTCGCCCACCTTGCCCACCCCATTCTTGTTATAGACATGGATGCAACGAGGAGGGCGATGGTACGGGGTATTCCCCAGGGCACTGTTGTCCACCACACGGACCCGCGTCATCTTCTGAATTGCACTGAGGCTCCCGGTGGTGCTGAGGAAAGAGAAAAAAAGTCTGAGGTCTGCATCTCTCCTGGTCAGGGTGCAGAGGCTTCTGAGGGCAAGGCCTGGGAGAGATCACACATTAGCAAAAAAGCACTGACAGAGCAAAACCCAGGGCCCTGACAGAAAGTTGGGTGCTTGTGAATACTTCTCTGTGCCCAAGACAGTTTCCTCACAGTCAAAAGTTCCTACTGCTGAGTCAACATCTCGATTTGGAGGGTTTTGTTTTTATTTTTGTTTTAAAGGTTTTATTTATTTGACAGAGAGATCACAAGTAGGCAGAGAGGCAGGCAGAGAGAGGAGGAGAAGCAGGCTCCCCCGCTGAGCAGAGAGCCCTATGTGGGGCTTGATCCCAGGACCATAAGGCACCCCTGGTGGGGTTTTAAATGAAACCCAATTTTCTGTTACAATGAACTTCATGGCAGCCTAACTGAAAGCCTCTGGTATCCAAAAGAACTCTGAGCATTAAGGGACTATTTTATGGGCCAGGCCTCATCCATTGCCTAGCCTGTAAAACCTGCTCCCCCAGAATGTACTGATTCCCAAATTTCCCATCAATGTGTTGCTGGGAACCAGACAATATGAATGAATAGGTTTGCTAAGGGGGCCCCTGACATAAAAGAAGAAACCAGAAATAAGTTGAGGTAACGATCTTTTGTCTCAATGCATTTTTCCCCACTAGAATGGACTTTTTTTTTTTAAGTGTACCTATTAGGGAGCCTGGGTGGCTCAGTTGGTTAAGCAGTTGCCTTTGGCTCAGGTCAGGATCCTGGAGTCCCAGGACAGAGACCCACATCAGGTTCCCTGCTCAGCAGGGAGTCTGCTTCTCCCTCTGACCCTCCCCCTCTCACGTTCTCTCTCAAATAAATAAAATCCTTAAAAAAAACAAATAAAAAAATAAAGCGTACCTATTAAAGGCAGATAAGCTATTATTAAGCATCTGATAACAGGGATTTCTGTTTTCCTGACGTGAGCACCTTAAGTGCTAGCATTCTGCAGGGTAACCCTGGGCTCTCCCCTCACATTCCACAGGCCTACTCTGGGGCAGTTTTATTGATTCCCTTTGCTTCCAACTAGTAAATTCCATCTCCAGCCTCATTTCTCTCCTCTATTCTAGCCCTGCCTTTCCACTCTAAGCTTCCCACAACATGTCCCACTGATACTGCACATTCACTAGATCCCACACTGACCTCATCATCTCCCCTTGCAAACCACCCCGTGCTGCTGCATTTATTTAGCAAATGGCTTCTCCAGCTCCTAAGCCATAACCCTCTCTCTCCATCAACGTCCTGGCTGCCAAATCCTATGATACAACCTGTGAAGCCCCTCAGTCCTCTCCCTGCCCCCCACCAACACTTCCGCAGTTTGGCAGCTTTCTCTCTTACACCAAGACTGTTAGTGTTCAAACTGGTTCCATGTGCCTCATGAACATAAAACTGAGGGGCACCAGGGTGGCTTAGTCGTTAAGCATCTGTCTTCGGCTCAGGTCATGATCCCAGGGTCCTGGGATCGAGCCCTGCATCAGGCTCCCTGCTCAGCAGGAAGCCAGCTTCTCCCTCTCCCACTCCCTCTGCTTGTGTTCTCTCTCCCTGTCTCTGTCAAAAAAAAAAAAAAAACAAAACTGAGACCACTCCCCTTAGAACTATTCAGTGGTCCTCCACTGTCTACACTGTTGACAACCTCGCCTCCACTTACCTGCCATCTGAGGGTCACAATCTCTTACCACTGACCACAGAGCGGTCAGAGTGGTCTGTGCCCTTCAGGCACGCCACACCTCTCAGCCCTCCCTGGAGGCCTGGACAGGGCCTGCTCCCACTTCCCTTCTGGGAAGGCTGCCTCTGTTCTCCCTTCCTCCTCCTCCATTAACAGCTCCTGTCTCAGGCCATCCAAAGCACCGTACAAACCTCTATTATTATACTGGTCACATTTCCTCAGATTTATTTGTTTCCAAGTTTGCTCCTGTGGCCAACTGTGAAGACTCTTTGAGGACAGGAAGCAATTCTTATTCATCTATGACCAACCCTAGGCGCAGTGCTCAGTAAACGCCAGGGAGTGCACGAATGGGGCCAGGAGGCATGTTTGCCAACAATAAGGCACCCGTGCTCTGTGTCCTGGCTTAGCATCTAAAAGGAGGGGAGGCTGTCATACTTCTATCATGCCTGAGTTTTGGTAATATGCATGTTTTAACATTTTAAAACAAGATTCCATTTTTAAAAGAGAAGGTTTTCATGCACTGGGGGAATGACAGGGTCGAGAGACGTTGGAGTCACTACAAGAATCCGGCAAGGACAGAATTTTCCTCTACTTTGGGCCATTCCCTACCCTACCTCCAACAGCAAGGTCACATCCTTACCAATCCTCTTACCCACCACAACCAAACCCCAGCTGCTCTGGCCTGTTTAGCTTTCCCAGAAGCCAAGCCCGCTCCTCTGAGTTCCCACTCCCTTTCTAGTCACATAATACCCGGCCCTGCTGGTAGGCTTACTCAGAGACAAAGCTTTAAGAACTGAATGGGAAAATTACCTGAAACTGCGCTGGCTGAGCGCTCTGCTTGCATGGGTGAAGAGGCCCCAGAGCCCAGCACAGAAAGCCATGGCAAATCCTGCAGGAAAGAGGGGGAAAAGGTTTATTTCTAAGTCAGTGTCCTTACTCAGAGCCAGCCTGCCGGGGACTTGTGTGGGAGATGGTACTTCTAGCATAAGATCATTAGTCACTAAATATAAATCTTAGTGGTTAAAAGATAAGCAGATGATCAGAGGGAACTCCAGCTACAGTTCTGCTGATTCATATTCTACCTGGGGTCAGAGAGCTGGAATGGCCCACAGCAGTTCTTGCTACAATAGCAGGGAGGATGCCTTCCTGGTTATATCACTTGACAGGCAGGAAGAAAGCAGGAATCCTTGGGTACATACCTGACAGTGACCCCTCCCCAGGTCCTCCACAGAGGAAAAAGCTTGCAAGCTAGTGCCGCTGCTAACAGTCATGTGCCTCCTGAAACCGGAGCTTTTACCCCCACCCACCCCACCCCCAGGTAGACTACCTGAGCATCGGCTGCGTTGTCATGTCACCATGTCACCTTTCCCCAAATGTAAGAGCCAGAACGCCTGGGTACCTCAGGGCTAGCCAAGGAGAGCCAAAAGATACTCCCACTAAGTCACTGACCAAAGCCTCCATTTGGGTCAGTCTCCCAAACAACAACAGAACATGGAAAAACTACGTGCCCTGCACTGCAGCTGAAAGTGGAATTTGGGAGAGCAAGTTGGAGCTAAAAGGGCAAACACTGACCCAACACCAGGGCCTCCAACTTGCAGAACCCCAACCCTGCGTCTCCCTAGCACCAACACATCCAGCAAACCCAGTGGCCTACAACTCCCAGGCATCAGTTAGGGGCATGTTGAAGAAAACCCTACAACCAGCTGGCAATTCCAGTGGCAAGACACGCCTGTTCTATCCAAATATTCGGCTGCAGAGGGCCTCATGGACAAATCTGCTGAGAAAGGCCTCTACCACTGCAGTATTCACACACAGTCTTCCCTCACCTAAGTTCAAAGCACCTTAGATAAGATTTTACTTAATAAGAGTGGGAGGAGGAGCCATTATTTACTTCCAAAGAAATATGCAGACACTCCAGAAATGCTTATTAACTACAATTTAGAGTCAAACCATAAGCTTAGTCTCCAGTCTTTTTCTTAAGACAACCCAGAAAGCACTGGCCAAAATTAATCAGAAAGTTAAACGCAAAAGAAGGCAGTGAACTTACAGAACCATTAACACCTGACACACTGAATCAAAGACTATCAGAGGAGGCCAGCTTTACCTTTATAGCTAGCTAGGTGACCCTGGACAAAGAACTCTGAGCTTCGGTTTCCCCATCTGCAACACCTACTCACAGCTGGTCACAGGATAAACCGAGCAAAGCACGCAGCACAGTGCCTGGCACACAGTACCTACTGGCTATCTCCGTTGCCATCATTGGTACCCATTCCATCCCATCTTGTCTCACAGATGAGGAAACAGAGATACAGAGAGGTGACGTGACTTGTGTGACCCATGGCTAGCCACAGAACCAAAACTGGGGCAGACCCAGAACCAGAACTGGGCCCGGCTTCGGCCCAAGGGTCTCCCCCGGCACCTTACAGCTTCACTCTGCCATTCAAAGCTCATGTCACACAGGGGGCTGAGGGCCAGAAGCAGCTTCATGGGTCACCCGGTCTGCTTCTGTTTTCTTTATGAAAATTTAGCTCAAGAGTTGTAACACATCTGGCACTAGACTAAGTACCTTACGTTACCATCTCACTTAAGCCTCACAAAAACCTCTAGGAACCAGGCATTAGTATTAGCCTCATTTTATACATGAGGGGTAATTTTCTAACCACTGAGGTTAGAGAATTCACCCACAGTCACACAGCCAAGAGTGACAAAGTTGAAATTTGCACCCCAGTCCTCAGCTTCCTGAACCCATGCGCTTACTCAACAACTAACACGGTTTAACTTTAAATATTAATATTTTTACAACTGTGAAATCATCCTTGTTCCACCACTGATAATTACAGGCACATTTTTCTCATGCCCAACTCAACACTTGCTGAGTCAACCGAAATGTATAAACACCAGGTGAAAATTACTCACTTTAATCTGATTTAAGTTTTGAGCACAATGTGTAGTGTAGGTGGCAAGAAGAGCTCCACGTTCAGAGCAATAACTAAAGATCGCCCTTAGAAAGAAAAAAAGGGGGGGGTTGTGAAAAGCCGTCTGTCTCGCCCAGGCTACAGTGACCTCCAATCTCAGCCAAGCTTTCCCATCTGACGCTGGTGGGCCCTTGTTCTCATTCCCAGGGAGAAAAGAGGCTCCTCAGCTCCTCCACAGAACCCTCAAGATTAGCCCAGCACCACCCACCCACATTCTCTCTCCGAGAACGGCAACACCCTGCCTCTCCAGGCTGCACCTCTTCCTCAATAACACTTCCGTTAGCCAAGGACTGCTGAAGTGCTGGGGGCTTCCCAGAACTTTCCCAACTTGGGTAAAACAAACCCACGATTCAAGGCACCTCTCTAAAATCTGCTGGGCAGCCTGGGCACAAACCCAAACCCAGACCTCTTCTCCGTGCCTTGTTCACAAGCCACCCCCACAACCTATGCCCGTCTCCTCCCAGCTAAATCTAAGGACACCCAACACGTCTCCCCCAGGAAGCCTCGTGTAAAACTAGTTACACCACCTGCACACTGAGGACATCTGGGGATCCCGGGCCAGAGGAACTCTCACAGCTCCAATGTTCACTATCCAAACCCAGTCAACTGCATACATTTGGATACTTTTTTTCAGATAAGGCTGATAACCCTTAATATCCTAATTCTTGCTACTCATTTGCCAAAACTCAGGAGCCAGAGGTCTTGGTAACCTGGCACCTGATCTCACACTGGAATTCAGAGATCATAGAGACTCAGAACATGAGGATTCTGTGTACTACCTTCAGACACAGGAGCAATACACTCACTTCTCCAGGGGTACTACCATTTTCACAAGACAAGGTCCAATCCAGACTTTTCCCTAGCTCCTTAGTGGATCTGATAGTGACCTCCACACCCAAAGGACTTAAGACATCAAATGGACAGCAATAAGCATTCCCATGAACATGAAAGCACAGAAAAACCAAATATATTCACTTACTGTATACATGTCCCCTTTTTTTTTCTTTTTTAAAGATTTTATTTATTTGTTTGACAGAGAGAGTGAACAAGCACAAGCAGGGGGAGCAGCAGGCAGAGGGAGAGGGAGAAGCAGGCTCCCCACAGAGCAAGGAGCTCAATGCAGGGGGGCGGGGTTGATCCCAGGATGCTGGGATCATGACCTGAGCCGAAGACAGATGCTTAACTAACTGAGCCACCCAGGTGCCCCATGTCCCTCTTTTGTAAAACAACAAAAAATCTGTGGTCCCCTCCATTCCCATCCCAGCAGGTCCTGACAGAGTAGGAATGCAAAGAAAATCTGTTGAATAAAATAAATGCGACAGTTAACAGAAAAAGACCTCCCTCACTCATGGCTCTACACAGAAGGAAAGCCGGACCCTGCTGAGCTCTTATCTGTTACCAGGAACCAGGACATCACATGCAAACATACTTTAGGAGAATCGTGGTACCAGCCATGGGAGGATTAGCCCATGCCATGTTTACAAGCCCCTGGAATGATCTCCTGGGCCTGGTGCCTACAATGCCCACTGCGGAAAAGCCCTCATCCCACCACGAAATAACTGGTTTGGATTGGGCCAGGGGAACGGAGGCAGCAATTTACTTCAAAGCCACTCCGACTGACCTTGATGTTACTTCCCAGCATAAATCCATCAGCAGACACAGGCCCTGATTCACTTCAGAGCAGTCTATATATAATGCTTGGTTTCACAAGCAATGTCATTCTGAGTCTTGTGTTTGCACAGGAAACTAACCCCCATGGTATTTCCTCCTCCACAACACTCTCACTCAGAGGCCGGGTATTCTGAAGACTCCAGTGCCAGAGATGGCTTTTCATGCCACTTCCCGGTCGGCACCAAGTACTGCCCTTCAGGTTTAGAGTATGAATCACAACCTCTCCGGAGAGGGGGAAGGGGAAGCAAGAGAAGTAGGAGGGAGGGAGGGAATGAAAGAGATTACTTAACACAATCCAAGAATTGTGCTCACTTTCCAACCTGGTTTAGCTTTAAGATATCCCTTCCGTTTTGGCCAGGGAGGGCTGTAAGTTTCAGGGACACACAGACGAGTGTTTTACTTGACACTTAACAGGCCCCACTGGAAGGTCCCACCTTACAGATCCCACAGGAAATACAATAGGTGACAGCAGGGACGAGGCCGGCAGGGCTCCGTGCTGCACAATCAGAGGACTCAGCACAATGCACACAAACGGAGTTTACTAAGTATCTGTTAAATGAATACAATTCAACCTGCAATTGCAATTCATGCCCCAGCTCCAGAGAGGCTCTGTGATAGGGGGCTGGTGGTCTTCAGGCTCTTAGTAACTTGGGGAAGCCTCCTAGACACAGGGAACTCTTGTTTAATGAATTTTAATACACAGAGACTGAGCTGGAAAAGCAGACAGAGTTTATATCTCTATTGCTTTGCAGAATGCAGAAATGTACTACTTGAGCAAGGATCAGCAAAATGGCATACTTCCTGCATGTATTCATTGTTTCCACCTTATGTGGATTCATTGTTTGTGGATTCATTGTTTCCATCTTTAAGTGCCTGACATGTCATGTACATTTTTTTTTAAGATTTTATTTATTTATTTGACAGAGAGAGATCACAAGTAGGCAGAGCAGCAGGCAGAGAGAGAGGAGGAAGCAGGCTTCCTGCTGAGCAGAGAGCCCGATGTGGGGCTCCATCCCAGGACCCTGAGATCATGACCTGAGCCGAAAGCAGAGGCTTTAACCCACTGAGCCACCCAGGTGCCCCTGTCATGTACATTTTTAAAGGCCTCTCAAGAGGATGGGCTCCAAAGAAACAAAAAAAAACAAAAACAAAACAAAATCAAAAGTTCAGCACAATCACAAAGGCATGTTCAAAGGACATTGTCAATAACTGAAAAGAAATGCCATACAAATACAGGACCGAA